TTTACTTACACATATTTTATCCTTTTTTTTCTTCTTTATTCTCCTATCTTATCACTAGTGAGTAATAAGTGATAATAAGTGATAGTTCTAATTGATAATTCTTAGCATTTTTATTCATTTTTCCATCTGAATACAACCTATTGCTAATAATAGCTAATATTTAATTCACTTTTCACAGCTTTTCCTTTTCAATCAAAAATTTGCCTCCAGTAATAAAAAGTAACAATAAGGGAATTTACTAAGACAGTATGATGATGAATTATTTGTAGTAAATTTGAATACTGTATCACAATAATGATAAATCATAATTATTACTTATCTTGTTAACTGAAATATGTGCATTAATGGTACCAATAAGGTTTATTTGAATAAGAATAATGAGAATACTTAATTAAAAGTGAAATAAAATTGATTGTTGAATAAGGTTAGAGTTGTTAATAAAAATGGATTAGAGCTTTTGATAAAAACCTTACTGATTTATTTTAAAATATCTGCGAAAAAAATAGACAATGATAAATGATAAAAAACATTAATTTAATTTGCAAACCATAATGATTCACTGATTACTGAACCAAATGCCATAATAACTATTTCGTCGAATAACTTACTGAAACATTGCATATACCAATATATTTTAGTAATAGTCAATCACAAACTAATAAATTATCATTTGAAATTTATGATTTTAAAATAATATATTGATATTTGCACCATAAACAGTGTAACTTTTGCAGTTTCTTCGAATTAAATAACTTGAACATTTCAATAAAATTTTGCTCCAACAAATATTTCTTTTTTATGGTATTTTAGAATTAATTATGATGCTCATTTTTGCTTTCTACAAATACAGTATTACAAGCAAAAATCATGTTCTTTGCTATTAAAATACAAACTTAAATTCAAATTTTAATTTAAATTGAGATTGGGAAAGTGAGCAGTTAATTTCCGGAGAATAGAACCTGAAAATTATTGTGCAGACAATTATTATGTGCTAAAATGTATCTTTTTCTAATTTTACGAATAATTCTTTTGTGAATTTTTCAAACAAATCATATTTTTATTGATTTTTTCTTCTTGAATTAAAAACGGAAGAAATGGTTCACACATTCACTTTCAGCTTTTTAAATTATAAGCAATCAATTGTTGCTAAATTGGGAAAGATGCTTGGGCTTAAAAGGAGAGTAAAGAATATTTAACATTAAATGTATTTCTTCAAAAAATAATTTCTTTAAACATGCCGGAACTGAAATTTCTTTATTACCAAATTCTAAACAAAATTTTGTGACAGCCACAAAATCATTCATTCATCTTTGTTCATTGTAAGATTGCTTGCTTAAAGCATTTTCTCATTGCTAAATTATTAGTTTTATATCACAAAACAGTGAAACGAATTAGTAAATTGAACTTTCGGCAGATCAATCATCGATTTCTTTGACTTTGTATTATTAATGCAATCACTGTTAATTCATTACTTTCACTCTCGATGACAATGGAATTTAGTCATTTAAATTTATTTTAGATTGAATTATCCGAAAAGATAAGAAATGTTTTTTTTTCTGGATTCCACCACCAATACAGCAGGGAGTAAGAAAAATTTCCCTTTTTTATTAGTTATATTGCAACGGAATTCTATGATCTTAAATCTCGACTACCAACATTAGCCAATTTTCTAGAAGTCGAGAAAAATTTCGTGACACATAAATTGTTGAAATGTGAGGAGAAGCTCAAAATAAATCAAAAAAGAATTTGGATGAATATACACTGTATAATTTTACAATGCTCGAGAGTATGAAATTTGGTGCAATTGTAGAAATCAAATTTGTTACTGAATCATTGTTTGAATTCTAAATGTGATTATTTCGATCTAGAATCCAATTAAAATTAATTGAAAATCACATTTTTATACCTATATTATTATCAAATTATTATCACATTGAAAAATATCTGATAAAAATATATACACACGTATATTTTACAAATATTTTTGTCGAGATTTCTTATTCTTCTGTATATTCTCTTTATCTAGAAAGCCATTAAATTGAATATAAAACCAGCAAAAATTATGTCAATATGTACATTAAAAATACTTAAATCTTTTCTATTTCAATTAAAAGTAATAAGCTTTCAAGCTGATCGTCCTATATCGAACAAAATTCTTAAAAACTATTAAACTTAATTTCAACATTTCTATTTTGATTTGAAATGTTCGAGAAGAAAAGCCATAAAAAGAAAACAAAAAGCAATCAAAAACATTGCGATGATCAAATGATATATCTCATCAATGATAACAATTGCAAAAAAAAAAACTTATTTATACCTTTGAACTGCTATCATTTTAAAATGAATCAAAATATTTGGATGTAAATTCCTACTACAATAAGAAAAGAAAAAACAAAATAGCTCGAATGAATTAAAATTTTTTTTATTATTTTACTTTTACCATTTGTTTTTTTTTTTTCATCAAGAAACCGAATGCAAATCTTTTTGAATATTTTATTGCTTAAAATTCTATTTTGTTTAAAAAGAAACAAACTCTTTTGTTACTATATTATAAACACTTTTTATTGAATGAATAAAAGAGGTCAGCTAAATAGAAACATGCGTAGTTTTTATTTATTTTAAAAAAAATGGAAATGTATCAGAGACGATCATTTGTCAAATTCAATTTAAAAAAATTAAGAAAAAAATTCTAAAAAAAAATAAAAATTTTTTTTTCCTAATCATTGTATCACTTTCAAAGCATCTGAATTTATTAACATTCTAAAAGAAAAAAATATATATATTACAAAACATTAATTAAATCAAAGAAATTCCAAAATGCTGTTCACATTACCTTCTTATTGTTTTCCTAAAACAACAAGTAACATCCATTATTGTCACAGATAACAAAATTAATTAGCATTTATTGTCAAAATTAAAACTTATCACAAAGAAAGATTACGAAGATATTTTTATTCCAATGAAATATGCATTTTTTCCTATAATTATGTTGTATGGAAAAAGATTTATAACAATAAGTTATTGTTAAAAAGCAAAAAAGATTTTACTGAGAAAATTTATCACAAAAAGGTTTAATGTCGAATATTGATAAATCATAAAAGATAAGGTAAACAGTTATAAGTTTTTGTTTTTTATACGCCTTTTTGCATATTTATTGAAACACACACAATTTGAAATTTTGTTCAGAATGAATATTTTCTAGATTTTGTTTTGTTTGCCAAAAGAGCTAAAAAGTTTGTCACAATTTAATTTTGCAGATCAAATGATTTCAATTTTAATGTCTAGAAAATTGAAAATAATAAGTCATAAAATAGAAATTTGCAGACTAGAAATTGCCATATTTAATTTTATTTTAAACAAATATAAACTGTTTCAAATTTACATCCCAATTGATAAGTCATTTATCCGATATTTGCTAACTATACTAAGCTTATTTAGAATGTCACAAATTGTTAATAAAGAATATATATATTTACTTAAAATTGCTCCTAATTTTATTGTCATAATTTTTCAGTCTGAGAGTCAATTTGTTTATTAAAAAGTTTTCAGCTCTTTGTTCTATTTAACTTTCATATTATAATCCATATCAATTTGCAATATCAAAGTATTGTAAAAGTCTTATAAATAATTAATGTAATATTAAAAATCAATTTCTGCTATAAAAGGCTAAAGGTCATCCGAGAGTGGTAGCTATTTTTGTGTATTTTACTATAAGTCAATACCAGAGCTAAACTATAAAGAGTTAAAAGCATTGTCTGGAGTCATTCTTTAGAAATTGTAAGCCTGAAATTGGCTCATCTCTGTTTCCTGCACAGACATCAATCTTTGTTCAAATTTCTTCGGGTCAATCTCGAACAAATTTCTCCCACAAACTGTAATATAATTTAATTTGTCTAATAACCCTTAGTGTGGTATAATTTGATATTATCTAATAAACCTTACTGTATGACAGGTAAACATTATTCGAGAGTGAACTCTTTGCAATTATGCGCCTTGTGCTTTCAAAGATTCGTATACATTCATTTCTTTTTATGGTCACATTTAAAAATTACATTTGTATTTCTGTATTCATTTGAAAAAACTCTTAGCATTACACTTTTGTTTACAACTACCATTGTATCACAGTGTTTGTCAATTAATTAACACATTTAAAAATGGATCATATAAATATTAGTCTAATAATTTCTACTGTAATAGAAGTAAACTTCTGATATTTTGAGGAATTATTCGTTTTTTGTTTTAATTACAAGTTAAAAACACATTCTTAGAATATATTGAAAGAATCTCGCAGAACAGTCAATTCAGAGATCAAAAAGAACTTTAAGTGCTTTTATGCAATTCTTCACATTTCTACTTGTTTCCCATAATTTTCCAATTCGTCGTTGTTTGTATCCGTTCTAGGACCAGCATTAAACCAACTTAAGTCGAAGGTTGTGGTCAGTTTATGAGCTTCAAAAATTGACATTTTATTCTGAATAATCAAGATATTTATGATAATATCACCGATATTGAGAGTGATAGACATAAATTTCTAAGGCTTTAATTTGGTTTAATTTTTTTTCAAATAAAATCGTAGTATACACCAACTTGTAAAATGCCATTGATGTATATAAACTTAAAATATTTCAACTTTAACAATTACGATGATCTGTTTGCTCTCATAATGTTCGTTGTCACTGTTATCGTTTTGAGAGGACTTTATAAGAGACTGCTGATAAGAAATAGAAATGGAATCATTTACTGATCACTTAATTCTTTCATATTTGAAACTAATTATTTATATATTATGGCGATGAAATAACAAATGGTATTTGGAATGGATATGGGACAGTTTTAAAATCAAATTCACATATTCAACTATAATTTCATTCATTTCTGTGTTGAACAAATGATTAATGATAAATGAAATAATACCGTATTGTTGCCAATTTGATAAATAAAACAATTTTATGATTAATATTTGGTTGTTGTTTTTTTTTTTTTTTTTTCAGGAGAAGAAAATGAATAATCTCTTGATAGCAATCAGTTTAGTAATTCTTCTTGTGACATTCCCATCAAAATCAGATTTAGAAATTGATGTAATTTTCATAAATTTATTCTTTAAATTTTATAAAATAATCCACAGATAAAGTTAATTCTATTAAATGATCCAATAGGAACTTTATATGATAAATAGTGATCTGACTTGATCATAAGGTTAGCTAGAAGATGAGATGAGAAGTGATATAGCAGTTAGATAAATATATTATATCTTCTATACTTTTGTTTACAAATGTACAAAAAATAAAAATATTAAAAAAAAATATTAAAAAAATATTAAAAAAAAATAAAAATAAAAATAAAAATATTTATCGTGGTGTAAGTGAGATGTGACATTTAGAATGTGAATTCTCATTTAAAAAATTAGAATTCATTTATTCCTTTTCAATCTATCAATTTTATCACTGAGCTAATTTTTTCCTTCTTTTTTTTTTTTTATTTTAAATTCTATTTTTAATATGTTTATAAACAAGAAATTATTTACTTTTTTTTTTTTTCTTAGGATTCCTCAGATAATGATTATGCTGATAGCAATGACGATGGTTATAGTGAAGAAGAAGATGAATATACGACCAAAGGAGAATTTGTTGAAACTGATGGCAAGTAAGTTATCTAAGGAATTTTAGTAATTTTAATTTTCCAAAATATTTTTAATGAATTTTTATTCTGATTTGTTAATGAATTCATTCGTTGTTTGTATACCATCGATAAGACTGTTTATGAGTTGTCAAAAATGTGGTATTTATTGCTATTTATATTGTTGTAATCTTTTTCTTTTCGATTTTTTTTTTTCGAAAAAACTTTTCATTAAATAAAATATTTTGGAATAATAATTTCAAAATTTTTTTTTTCGAAAAAACTTTTCATTAAATAAAATATTTTGGAATAATAATTTCAAAATTAACTCTGAATTATTTTCATCATAACATATTGCTTTATTTGTACATTTAAAATGTGCTATAAGTAAAGTTTAAAAATAAATGCAAAAAGAAAAGTTTATTTTTTATTTTATCTAAATCATTTACAGATGGAAGAATTGCAGTTCTCATGCAGATTGCTATGATTATCGTGAACCAATAGCTTGGTGCAAACCCACTGCAAATCAATTTTGGACGTAAGCGCTTTTCAATTATTTATATTTTAAAAATTTTAATTTATGCTTATTAGCAAATATTTCAACTTTTAAAATGTTTGAATTTTTAGAGACAAAGGTTGCTTCTGTGAAGATATGTTGTATTCATGTGTGATCGAAAGAACGAATAATGGCAAATTAGAATATTCATATTGTACATCCAAAGAAAACTGGCAGTGTTTATAATAAATAAACAACCTGTAATAATAAATAAACAATCTATATTTGATTTGTTTATTTTATATTTTCTGTTTTCATTACTTCTAGCAATTTTATTCTTCCTTTTGTGAAGAGATTTAGAATATTTTAATTTTAATATTTCGTTTTTCTACTTCAATTGAATAAATTAATGACTGAATAAATAATTGTGATAAATAATTTTGAAAGTTTCAGAATTCATTACAATAAATTTATTATAAATTTTTAAATCAAAAAAAAAAAAAAAAAAACTTGATACAAACGAATTTGTTGCTGTCTTCCCGTGTTTTTAATTTATATATGATTTTTTTTTTCTCAAGACAAACAAATTTATAAATTTCAAATTTATGAATAATTCCAAAATTTGCTGTAAATTTAACAAACAGAAAGTTAGCAGTTTCCCAGTTTTATTGTTTTTTTTTTCTTTCTACCTCAAAAACTAATTATTTCGAAGTGTTACTTAAAAAAGACAAATTTCAAATTTCAAAAGAAAAGTTTCGACTAGTTTCTTTCAACTAATAGCAATCTAAACGAAACCTATTTTTAATTATGCAATTTTTCCATCACTACTCAAGCATTTTTCACTCTCATACATAAAAAAGTAAATAAAAGGAATTCTTTATTGTGTATACAATTTTTTAAGTTCTTACTTTGAGTTATTTTAATTTGAAATAAATAGCAAAGTGAAATTATTTAAAAATAATACGTATAGTATAAGTGAAATTACTTATTCGGAAAGAAATAATAGCTGAAATGACTGGGAAGTGATAATATTGAAAAATTTTTACTTTTTTAAAATTTCTTTCACGTGGAAAAGAAATTAACGATATGAACTAGCAAAATATTAAAGTATGAAATATGGTTTTAATTCAGAAATAGATGTTTATGTAAATAATTAAATTCGAATTTCATTTAAGTTGCAAACATTTTGCAGATTTAACACAATTAAAAAGGAATCTTTGAAAATGATAACGATAAGTCATTAATTAACAAATGTATTTAGGTTTTGCAAGACTTTTTTTTTTTAATTTTAAAGTGGAGTTCAATTGAAATTAATTGGTTGAAATAATTTTTTAACTTCTTTACTAAAGTAAGTATATCCAGTTGAAATTATTGCTTTGTATATGTAATCGATTACAAAACTAGCAGAATGATTAAGAGAAAAGTTTGATTTTGGATCAAATTTTATACTTTTTCGTTTTTCTATTACTTACATAAAAAAAACAGAACATTAAAATAGACGCATTAAGATGATAATTTAATTAACATGATAATCCAGTTGTCATTTTCTCGAATTAAATATTGGTTTGATTTTGGTTTCATAAAATTTTCTCGAGATTATTGGATTATTCAGTATTATCTCAATGAACGCTAAATAACTGATATCATGTTTTTTCACTTTAAAGCCTTCTTATCAACAATTCTTTTAAATTAATTTATCATTGAATTATGATATAATAATAGAAACTCATTTTTGTTACATAAATGCTGTAATTTAATTCTCAATTATTTGCTTATTTGAACCATTTAACGAATAATATAGTTTAACAAAAATCTCATAATCCAATCTTTGTTATATTAATTTTACAATTCAATTTTTGTTTAGCACAAATATGTCGAAAATTTGATAAACACTTGTAATTAATTAATCAATTAATGAAAAAGGTAAAATTGTCATCTCTACTATTCATCGCTACTGAGTGATAACTTTTTGAAATTATCATTGAATGAGATCAAAGGATAAAATGGATTCTGTCAAATTATTTTGCAACTATGCACAAAGATTTAATTTTTTTTTCCCTTTTTTTCTCCAACTATTTTATCAGATATCGTTTAATTATATTCTCTTAGCTAATTTCGTTTTAAATTTTAAAATATTTGAAGCTAAAGTTGGTACATCTCTTTTTTTTTTTTTGGAAACACAACTGATAGTATCACAGTTACTATTTTACTACACTACGATTATTGATTTAAAAAAAAGGATAGCAAATATTTAAGTAGTTCTTGTGAGTAAATTAAATATGAATGATTCTTGAATTTCAAACATTTTTGAATAGTATGCATGCACTTTCATATTTGATCCACAAATAGAAATATGCAATCAGTGTGTTGAAATTTTTCAAATTTTGTAGATAAGCAAAAAATTATTATCATATCATTTAAATAATTTCAAATTACAAGTTATTTATTAAAAAATTATTCCATAGAAAAAAAGTAAATAAAATAAAATTCATTAAAGTTATGCATAAAAGTTGTTTATTTTATACAAATTAGTTTGTAAAAGAAAAAGCGCTCATAAATAAAAACACAATATAATATACAATGTTATCATTCTAGAAATTAAATCATTTATAAAATAATGCTTAACTGGTTTGGTCAGTTTACTACTTGTCTCCTCATATTTGACAATTTATTAAATATAGCACTCATTGTGGAATGTAATGACTCAATATGGGATAAAAGACTCCACGAAACTACCATTGGTACTACTACTACTACTGCTACTACTACTGCTACTACTACTACTACTACTGCTACTACTACTGATAGTACTATTATCACTACTACTAGTAGCAGTTTTACAAAATATATTTACGAAAGAATTGGAGAAATGGTATCCATTAGTGAAAGAAGAAATGATAAGAATGGAGGTGTAAAGAGTGATAAGAAGGATGTGATAAGGAATGAAACAAGAGAATATCTAATATCAACTCATCAATATTTTGTTACAACAAATATAATTAATGAAGACAATGATATGTGGGATAAATTAAAGAAATTGAGCAAATCTGATACCATTATTGTTGCAATGATTTTTATTTTATTCATATTTCTTTGTAGTGTATTTATTGCGTTAGTTATGCAGAAATAATTTTATGTTTAGTAAGTTTATGTGTGTGAAATGTTTGAGTTTGGATCTCGAAATAAATCTGAACTTAGCTAATGATTATGTTAATGCATATATTGGTTATTGATTATGTTAATCTTAATTAGTGTATCGTAATTAGTGATTATTTTAATATTTATTTTGATAAGTGATTGTGATAAAAAGTGTATCTTTGTCAATGATTATGTTTTTAAGCGTGTATTTTATTGATAAACGTTGTTACATAAATAGGCAAACATACAGATAAGTTAAAAAAAAATAGCATACATTAGTGAAAACTTAAACTTTTTTAATATTTACACTGGTATTTTTGTTTATAGAGGGATTAATGTTTACTTAAAAATACAGTATTTCATTCTATTCTCACTTTACTCAATGTGTCGTGAATTTTTTTTTTTTTTCGAGTGGTTTGTCGATGGTCAAGAATAAATAGGAAATTGAAAGGCTTATATGAGTGCTGAATAAGCATTTCAATAGATGTAGTAATAAAGATGATATTTTGTAGGTGGTGGGACTCTTTGTTATGATGAAATGACAGTAAGATTAGAGAATCTTTATTAATACAATACTAATCTAAGATGACAAATACTAATATATAGGGTGACAAAATAGGGAGTATAATTTCAAGTAGTTGTAGTTGACTTTTTGTTGAAGAAGAAGAGATTAACAATGGAACCTCTATTTGTCCCAGAAGTGAACAACCCTTCAAGAAGAAGAAGAAGAAGGAGATGAAAATGATCGTGATTCTTCCTTTAGAAGAAGATGATGATCATGATAGAGATTCTTCTTTCCTTCCTTCAGAAGAAGATGATGAAGATTCTCATTTAGTATTAAATTTATATATATCAAGATTGGGAGTGGTTTACAATGGCTTGCAATAGACATTACATCAGCTTGCAAGAGACATGCACCAGCTTGCAATAGACATTACATCAGCTTGCAAGAGACATGCACCAGCTTGCAATAGACATTACATCAGCTTGCAAGAGACATGCACCAGCTTGCAATAGACATTACATCAGCTTGCAAGAGACATGCACCAGCTTGCAATAGACATTACATCAGCTTGCAAGAGACATGCACCAGCTTGCAATAGACATTACATCAGCTTGCAAGAGACATGCACCAGCATGTAAGAGACATGCACCAGCTTGCAAGAGACATGCACCAGCTTGCAAGAGACATGCACCAGCTTGCAATAGACACTACATCAGCTTGCAAGAGACATGCACCAGCTTGCAAGAGACATGCACCAGCTTGCAAGAGACATGCACCAGCTTGCAAGAGACATGCACCAGCTTGCAATAGACACTACATCAGCTTGCAAGAGACATGCACCAGCTTGCAAGAGACATGCACCAGCATGCAAGAGACATTACATTAGACTACATCAGATGTCCATTTGTATACATGACAGATACATCCATAGGATTGTACTATGATTAAGAAATGATTTTTTTGTTAGATGAAGATAACAAAAGGAAATGAAATAGCTGAGGAATCTAAAATTCCTTAAATGATTCATAGCATTGTTAACAATTATTTACAATTTGAATGATTAAATTTTATATAAATTTATTTTATTTCAAGTTTCGCGATGTTAAAAATTCGCTACACAATGTGTAAACAATAATATGAAATTATTTATAAGTAACATATTTATTGATTGTGACAATGTCTCATTGTATTATCCGAGCTAATGCTAATCTTGGAATAATTTAAGAGACAATATAGTCTAAAATTAATGACTATTCATATAGTAATAGACAATTAGCAGTATATATATAGAAATATTTCTAAATGAACTAATTGTTTCATGAATTAAAAAGTTTACAAATTCAGCTTAGGATTTCACTGATCACTACTTTGCAAAGAACTGATAGCTTTTGATTAACACTTCGTCATCAGATCAAGTTAGATTCAATTAAATTAAATTAGCAGAAATTTTGAACTTTTATTTTTTTTTTTGATGACTATCTCGAATTGACTACTTCATTTATCGTTTATTATACTTGAGAACAACAAAATGAATAAGTGGTAAGTGTTACTATCCTTTGCTCATTTTCGTGTTTTTATTTATTTAATTAGATCATAGAACCAATTAGTCATAGTATATAGTTTTAAGGATTTCAGACTAGATCCATCAGTGTTGCTGATTGTTACATTTTGTTGACACAGAGACAATTTTTAATCATATTGATAAAATTTAAGTTTCAGTATTTCAGACTACTCTCCCTATCATACATCATTTACTAAATACAAAAAATAGTGTAAGAGTAGGGTATAAATTCATTGACACAACTTTAATGTGATATATTTCAATTTGAAAAAGACGAATTTTTACCTTCAATTTCAATAAAAGACCTGTCATTGAAATTTACTTCAATTGAAATTTACTTCAACACATGCTACTCTTCCTCGCAATGAAAAAAGAAAAAAAAAAAAAAAAGGAAAATAACCAGATGTAGCAGTGGTACCTGAAAAACCGGTTTCTCACTTAGCATACCAGCTCATTTGAAGCAACGACAGCGAGCAATTAAGATGAGTGTACAAGACTATTGGAGTCGCATTAATATGTCACTTCCGATTTCCTCAATCAATTTTAACCTTAGAAATATCAAATTTGAAAAACCGCTGCTGCCGCCTATGCCACCGCAAGTCAATCTTAGTTGCGTAATAATCATGTGATTATCACTGCTATAACTATAATTATCTTTTATTCTTATAACCATCAATCTGCTTTATGATATTTTCATAATTAATAACTTAAAACAGTATAGTTTGTTGCTGTTATCGTTTTGCTTTGCCTTTTTTAAAACAAATCATGTAAGTATAAGATTATATCTGATTAATTTACAAAATTTTTTTCTAAATCAACTGACTGCATTCGCGAATATATAGCTACCAGTATACTTTAAGTTCACGAAACACAAAACATACACATCTTGCAATCAAATTTTTCATTAAATAATTAAATGCGACAATATAAGTATGACAGCCAAATGAAATAAGTAAGCTGCATGATAATTGTTGGGCAAAGCACACAAACAGATTAAAACGTACTGAAAGCAATGAACACAACTTTAATTACAATGTAGAGAAATAAAACAAATCTTTAAGGAAGCTGCTATAATGGAGTATTCAGTAATTAAGAAACGATGCGCTACTGCTCAATAAGCGACCATCTCAACAAGGAACACACTGACAGTACTTAAGGGACACATATGAGAGAAATTTATAAAAAAAAATTATAAATCTAAAAAACTATAAATCTCATTAAAAACTACACAACTTAAATTATAATAACTTCTTACACTCAAAAATCAGCATTCTGAATAAATTCAAGCAAGAAATTTAAAATTCAATCTGACTATGAAATGAAATTCAATATAGCATTCCTTTTAGAAAATGAATCTTAATTTTCCGGTTAACAAATAATATATTTCAACTGGAGTAAAATAAAGAACTTAGTTCACCTGATATCAAGTAAAATGTAAAATAAAAACACTGAAAAAAAACGTAAAGACTCCTCACGTATAATTCATTCCATTCTCTAAAAAAAGGTACGGTACCTGACCTTCATCCGAGTCAAAAAGTGTTACAAGACTTACATTCCTATTCTGATACAAAGAGTTTACTGGTCATATAAAAGCAGCTTTTCAACAAAACATCCAAAAGAAAATGCCAAAAAGAATTACCCATCCGATGATTATCCACTAAGACTATAAACATGCTAAGATTATTGATGCTTACCAGAGTTGCCAAAATAAAATATGTGTGGAGTTTAACAAATCGTAAAGAATATACTGTTATTGTCAAATTAAGAGTAAAACTTACTGAATTACAACGAAGCAAGCAAAAAATACCTGCACTAATCAATAGAAATTATTCGTTTCATTTGAAGTAATGAGAAAAAAATAATTGGTCACTCAAATCCAAAATGAAAACGGTCGTAAATATCAATTTTCAATCATGCAATATTTTCCAGATTTTCTTTGAATAATTTGTTTAAATAATATGAAGGGGTTGCAAATTTCTTGTCAAAAATTTTCTCTATATTTCTTCTCACAAAGAGTATAAATGCTTCAGAACAAATAAATGGAACGGAAAAAATCTCTCACTTTTATATTCATATAAACTAATCTTAAGCTATTACAATACCAAAACGATAAACGTATCTTACTGGGCAAATAAAAGCAGCTTATTAAATACAGCACCTTTACAGCACCATGTTGCAAATGTTCTTGTTATATGTAATTTGCATAACATGGTAGAATACCATTTTATACAAGATTTGTACCCTGAGGATAGACTCCCGGAGACATTGTGGTCGTTGTGGTACTAATTGTGCTCGTCTTGTCACCCTCGATTATCACCGTTCTCAAATTTAAAAGCAGTCCATTCGGAGTAGCACGATATAGGAGGATTGCCAAGTAACCACACATTGCTGCACAAAACAGACAAAATAACTGAAAACTTAGAAATTTATATTTCAAGAAAAGAATATAATTGAAGAAAAATTCGCAACGGAATACAAATAAAAAAAAAAGAAAGGAAAAAAACATACCGTGGCGAAAAAGTAGGACACGAAAAGGCTGATAGTAAAACCAATCGAGGAAAACATGCTAATCAAGCAGATCAACGTTGATATACAGAAAAAGAAGAAAAAAAGCAAGGAATAGACGAAAAGCTGAAATAAATAAAACTTTTTTTCAAATAGTTACATAAAGTGACAACGAAAAACAAAACAAGTGCAGAAACTCACATTCAATTCCTTAAAAAGTCAACTCCATCTAAAAACTCCATCTCTAGGAGTTCCATGACAGTGCATAATGTCTAGTTGCTGTAAAAGAAATAAACTTACCAGAAGTGCAAATGGTATAAATGCAGTCATCTGCCCGATATTCAACATTCGTCGTTGAAAACCAAACAGATGAACAATCCACGTGAATAAACCGACAAGAAATATTGTCCAAGCACAAAAAAATACGAACGATATTCCACTGTAGTAATACGGCAAGCAATATAAATTAATCAGCAATATTAAGCAACCTAACTGAAAGTATACAAAACTGGCAAAAGCTTCACGTAGAAAAATTAATTTAAAAATAATTTGTGAAAAAAATTCTGATCTTTTTAGTCATTTTTAGTCATAGAAATAATGCTAAATGCGATAGAAGTGGACAAAAATTATAAAAAGCTAGTGTGGAGCTTACCCACTGAGCGGTCATCACAATACCAAACGGCCATTTGGTCACAAATTGTTTATCGATATCAACCATTTCCAAAAAGTCCAAAATAAGCACTAATATTAATTAAAGTTTCAATGCCGAGAAAAATTTCCAGCCTTAAAATATAAATATTACACTATCCCTTCCGCACTGGTCGCTAATCTGTCATTTAGCTGCAAGCCTATATATTTATAATTAATAAAAAACAATAAAAAATGACTGTATCTATAATGATTTTATATCGACTGCAGAAAAATTGTTTTTTCTTTATTTTAAGGAAATGTTTTCATTTTGAAACCGAGTACAGTAAAGATTTAATTTTTTTTTTTTTTTTTTGATACCACAGAACTTAACGCTTTGCGCAAAACAAACTTCTCGATAACAAATTTATTGGAAGTTCAAAAAATAAAATGCCGAGCGACCGCCCAAAATTATTTCTGTTTATTTTTCTATAAATATTATACTATCGCTTTCTCACTGATCGCTAATTCATCATTTAGCTACATATCTGTTGGCATCTGTTTAGCAAATACTTATGTTGTAATAACAACGTCATCGCTCATTGCTATTTGTTGATAAGTAAAAAAATAGTCATCAATCAGTTTCAATCAGTACATACATACACGCGTTTACAGTACACTGACAAAAATACAAAATACAAACAATATACAGAAAAATGAACGATAAACTCAGTGTAAAAGAGAGAACAAAAAGTTCAAATAACTAAAAAATTGTACGATCCATTAAATGGCGTACGATTTTTAATGATTAATTACAATATCATATAATACATGAAATGAAAATATTACACCTAAACATATGTATTAAATTACACCTTAACATATGTATTAAACTTTAATGTTCATACATTAAATAACATGTAAATTTGTTAGAAAAATAAAAGGTAAATATTTTAAGATGAATAAATTAAGATGAATTTCGATTATAGCACAGCTAATACTAATCTTTTTTATTTCAACCATTTCAGATCAAAATTTTCTACAATTTATCCAGCTTTTCTGATATATTCCAGAAAGAGTGAATAAATTTCCTGCCAGAAAACACTTTGACACATCCTACCAGTAGCAATCAAAAGAGCGGAAGATGAAATCAGTGAAGAGAGGAAGAGAAGTGAGACAAATTTTCTCGCAAC